AGGGCCCCCCCCAGCCCTCCCTGCTGCCTCAGTTTCCCCAGTCAGAGATCCCCCCGGAGCAATGGGGGGAGGCCAAGCTGCCCTGGCATTTGGTTGCATTTGGACACAGCCCCGTGTGCCGTGGCCAGCAGCCTGCAAGATGCAGGGCCACAGGATCCCCATCCCTGACCCCAAAAGCAGCTGGCTAACCCCAACCCCCCCAGCATGACCCTCATGCTTGCAGGGGCTCGGAGACCTCCCCGGGGACAGCGGGAGGTGGCCACCCTGCCAGCACCACGTGCCCCCGCGTGCCCCACGTCCCCAGACATGTTGCAAGTGTTAATTTAAGCTCCAGTCTGCCCTAATTGACAGGGAGGGGAGCAGAGCTAAAGGACCTGGGGCCGGAGCTGGGTGGTGGCAGAGGATGGCGTGGCACCTGCACAGCCCAGCCCTGCCCCTCTCCAGGAAAAAGTCGTCCTGTGCCAGCACCGGATGGTTCTGGGAGCTGGGAGAGCTCCAGCCTGGGGGGGACAGAAAGGGAAGCTGGGGCGGGGGTGGGAGGGAGGCAGAGCTTTACCTTCACCGCGTACTCCTTGTTGGTGATGAGGTTCACGCAGGACTGGACTCTGGCGTGGGCCCCCTCTCCCAGCACCTCCTCCTGCAGCTGGTAAACATCTGGCAGGGGAGAGGCCACTTGAGCTGCCAGCTCCACCTCACGGGCACCACTGTCCCGAGCCTGGGGACAGCAGGAGGGCCCAGCCCTGCCCCAGTCACCCCACTCACCCTCAAACCTGCCCGAGAAGCTGTCGGTGGCCCTGCAGCGCTTCTTCTTCTTGTTCCTCTTCTTGGCATCAGGGATGTCGATGGGTTGACTTGAAGGCATGTCTGTGCCAGAGCAAAGCCACCACCATCAGTCACCACCTCTGCTCCCCCAAAGGGACCACCCCTGGGGCAGCTCCCAAAGCTTTTGGGGGAGCACAGAAGGCTGACATCCCAGAGACAGGGATGGGAGGAGCCCCCTGGGATGGAGCCCCACGGGGGGCACCCGCAGCACCCAACACTCACCGGGACGGGGCGGGCACTCGAAGTTGAAAACGGGCTCCAGGTGGTTGGACTGGTCAAACTCCAGGTCGAAGGGGTTTTGTCCCTGTGGGAGCCAAGAACAGGAGTGAGGGGACAGCCACTGGATCAGCCACCACCAGCTGCCCACCCCACACACGGAGCCCAGCACACTCCTGTTCCTGGCTCACCCCCCCGGGGTGCAGGACACCAGCTCATGGAGGGACAGGCAGAGCTCCCTGCAGAGCCAGAGGAGGAGGAGGAAGGGTCTGCCCCCATGTCCCGGTGGGGGCGGTGCT